GAAATAGAAGAGCACGAAGTGGCCTACAGTTGGCTCCGGGCATCCAAAATGTGGCCCGGGAATGGCGTTCTGGGAGGTCGAAGAGCACGAAGTGTGTGACTGTTGCATCCGGTTATTCTAAATGTGGCCCGGGAATGGCGTTCTGGGATCTCGAAGAGCACGAAGTGTGTGACTGTTGCATCCGGGTATTCAGAATGTGGCCTGGGAATGGAGTTCTGGGAAGTCGAAGAGCACGAAGTGTGTGACTGTTGGTGAAAAACGAGCCCGGCACCCTGCCGCCCGGCAACTCCCCAACACCTGCCCGGACCCCCCTGTGGAGTGATCTGTGAGCTCTTTTGAGTCAACTAGAAACCTATCAGTCTTCGCTGTTAGGTAAAAACGAAGCGGTTGGGGCCTTCTTGGGGCCGTCCTGGCGGGACGTGCGGGAGCCCCAGGGGGAGTTCTTTTGGAAAAAGAACGAAAACCAAAACCGAGAGGGTCCAGCACGCCAGGCACCCCTTTGCTAAAGCAACAGGGGGCGGCGGATCGAAGACGCCTACGGCGAATCACCGCCGCCCCCTGCCTTTTTGGAAGCGCCTATGTGGCCGAACGTTGAGGCCAGACCTGCCAAGCTATCGGACCACGTGTTCCCCGAATCGGTTTGGAAAGCCTTCGGGGAACACGTGGGCATCTTGAAGGTCATCTTGGCCGTCTTGGAGGCCTCTTGGGCAAGCTTTGGGCGATCTTTGGGGCTTTTTGGGCCGTCTCGGGCCAGCTTCGAGCCAACTTCGGCCATCTTGGTGGGTTCCTGGCACGTCTGAAGCCGTCGGAAGCCGTTTGGGGGGCCTCTATGGGCCGACTTGGGGCCCGCTTGGAATGCTCCAGGGCCGTCTTGGAGGCCATCTTGGGCGTCTGGGAGGCCATCTTGGGCGTGTTGGAGGCCTCTTGGGCCCTCTTGGGGCCCTCTAGGGGCCATCTTGGAGGCCACTTGGGCCATCATGGGGCTCTCTTGGGGGCCTCTTGGGCGATCTTGGGGGCTTCTTGGGCCGTCTTGAGCCGTCGGAGAGCCGAAAAGGCGCAAATGCCAAAATCCTTCAAACACCAAGGGAAAATCAATGATTTGGCCTCTTCGGACTCTCCTGGAGGACCTCTTGGAGGCCTCTTGGGCCGTCTGGGAGGCCTCTGGGGGGCCTCTTGGGCCGTCTTGGGCCGTCTTGGACTCTCTTGGGCCGTTTTGGAGGCCGTCTTGGACCATCTCGGGCGGACTTGGAGGCCATCTTGGGCCATCTTCGCGATTTTTTGAGGATGTCCCGAGCGAAACGGCCGTTTTTGGGCATTGACAGATGGGTTTTGGGAATTTGCGGGTGGCCGGCGGGACGGGCCGAAGCCCACTGGGGAGTTCTTTTAGAAAAAGAACCAAAACCAAAACCTGAATCGTCCAGCACGCCGTGCACCCCTGCAAGCCACAGGGGGCGGCGGATCGAAGACGCCTACGGCGAATCACCGCCGCCCCCTGCCTTTGTGGAAGCGCCTATGTGGCCGAACGTTGAGGCCAGACCTGCCAAGCCATCGGACCATGTGTTCCCCGAATCGGTTTGGAAAGCCTTCGGGGAACACGTGGGCATCTTGAAGGTCATCTTGGCCGTCTTGGAGGCCTCTTGGGCAAGTTTTGGGCGATCTTTGGGGGCTGTTGGGCCGTCTCGGGCCGTCGGAAGGCAGAAAAGAAGCAAATGTCAAAATCCGTCAGAAACCGCAGGAAAATCAATGTTTTTGGCCTCCGGGGGCCTCTTGGGCCGTCTTGGGCCAGCTGCGAGCCAACTTCGGCCATCTTGGTGGGTTCCTGGCACGTCTGACGCCGTGGGAAGCCGTTTGGGGGGCCTCTATGGGCCGATTTGGGGCCCTCTTGGAATGCTCCAGAGCCGTCTTGGAGGCCATCTTGGGCGTCTTGGAGGCCATCTTGGGCGTGTTGGAGGCCTCTTGGGCCGTCTTGGGGCCCTCTTGGGGCCGTCTTGGAGGCCACTTGGGCCGTCATGGGGCCATCTTGGGGGCCTCTTGGGCGATCTTGGGGGCCTCTTGGGCCGTCTTGAGCCGTCGGAAAGCCGAAAAGGCGCAAATGCCCAAATCCTTCAAAAACCTAAGGAAAATCAATGATCTTGGCCTCTTCGGGCCCTCCTGGAGGACCTCTTGGAGGCCTCTTGGGCCGTCTGGGAGGCCTCTGGGGGGCCGTCTTGGGCCGTCTTGGACTCTCTTGGGCCGTCTTGGAGGTCGGGGGCCGTCGGAGAGCTGAAAAGAAGAACATGCCAAAATCCTTCAACAACCTTAGGAAAATCAATGATTTTAACCTATTCGGGCCTTCCTGGAGGGCGTCTTGAAGGGCTCTTGGGCCGTCTTGGAGGCCTTTTGCCGGCCTTTTGGGCCGTCTGAGACCATCTTGAGGCCATCTTGGACCGTCTTGGGTGCATCTTGGAGCCATCTTACCCGTCTTGGAGGCCATCTTGGCCGTCTTGGAGGCATCTTGGAGGCCATCTTGGGCCATCTTGGCCGTCTTGGAGGCCATCTTGGGCGTCTTGGAGGCCTCTTGGGCCGTCTTGAGGCCCTCTTGGGGCCTTCTTGGGGGCCTCTTGGGCCGTCATGGGGCCATCTTGGAGGCCTCTTGGGTGCTGTTGGGGCGATGTTGGGGACCTCTTGGGCCGTCTTGGGCCGTCGGAGAGCTGAAAAGAAGAACATGCCAAAATCCTTGAAACACCTAAGGAAAATCAATGATTTTAACCTATTCGGGCCTTCCTGGAGGGCGTCTTGGAGGGCTCTTGGGCCGTCTTGGAGGCCTTTTGCGGGCCTTTTGGGCCGTCTTAGACCATCTTGAGGCCATCTTGGGCCGTCTTGGGTGCATCTTGGAGCCATCTTACCCGTCTTGGAGGCCATCTTGGCCGTCTTGGAAGCATCTTGGAGGCCATCTTGGGCCATCTTGGCCGTCTTGGAGGCCATCTTGGGCCAAGTTGGGGCAACAAAGGCATTGACAGATGGATTTTCGGAAACTTGCGGGTGGCCGGCGGGACGGGCCGAAGCCCACTGGGGAGTTCTTTTAGAAAAAGAACCAAAACCAAAACCTGAAACATCCAGCACGCCGTGCACCCCTGTGGCAAGACCACAGGGGGCGGCGGATCGAAGACGCCTACGGCGAATCACCGCCGCCCCCTGCCTTTTTGGAAGCGCCTATGTGGCCGAACGTTGAGGCCAGACCTGCCAAGCTATCGGACCACGTGTTCCCCGAATCGGTTTGGAAAGCCTTCGGGGAACACGTGGGCATCTTGAAGGTCATCTTGGCCGTCTTGGAGGCCTCTTGGGCAAGCTTTGGGCGATCTTTGGGGCTTTTTGGGCCGTCTCGGGCCAGCTTCGAGCCAACTTCGGCCATCTTGGTGGGTTCCTGGCACGTCTGAAGCCGTCGGAAGCCGTTTGGGGGGCCTCTATGGGCCGACTTGGGGCCCGCTTGGAATGCTCCAGGGCCGTCTTGGAGGCCATCTTGGGCGTCTGGGAGGCCATCTTGGGCGTGTTGGAGGCCTCTTGGGCCCTCTTGGGGCCCTCTAGGGGCCATCTTGGAGGCCACTTGGGCCATCATGGGGCTCTCTTGGGGGCCTCTTGGGCGATCTTGGGGGCTTCTTGGGCCGTCTTGAGCCGTCGGAGAGCCGAAAAGGCGCAAATGCCAAAATCCTTCAAAAAACCAAGGGAAAATCAATGATTTTGGCCTCTTCGGACTCTCCTGGAGGACCTCTTGGAGGCCTCTTGGGCCGTCTGGGAGGCCTCTGGGGGGCCTCTTGGGCCGTCTTGGGCCGTCTTGCACTCTCTTGGGCCGTTTTGGAGGCCGTCTTGGACCATCTCGGGCGGACTTGGAGGCCATCTTGGGCCATCGTCGCGATTTTTTGAGGATGTCCCGAGCGAAACGGCCGTTTTTGGGCAGGAAATTGGGGAATTGAGGTCCTGGAAGGGTGGCCGGCGGGACGGGCCGAAGCCCACTGGAGAGTTCTTTCAGAAAAAGAACCAAAACCAAAACCTGACAGCTCATCCAGCACGCCGTGCACCCCTGCAAGCAGGGGGCGGCGGATCTAGTGGCCTTCGGCCCATCCCGCCACCGTGCCTGTGTTGTGGGTCAGAGTCCTGATGGATGTTTCTTGGGGTTGTCCTTCCCCTTGCATGTTGGCCAATTCGCTACAACGGGGGCGAGACTTCACTCTCGAGTCTCTGCGCCGTCGTCCTTATTGCATTGTGTTCCGAAGAGTTGCCACTTGCGCACTCTTCTGCCCACGCGTCCTGCTGGATGCTAGGCTCAGTGGTGGTGGTGGGTGCCCCCGTTTAGTTAGCTTTTTTCCGCCAGCGCAGACGGCCCCTGCCTAGCCGCCGACGCAAACAAAATTAATTTCTTGGGATCTCTTCGGAGGGCTCCCGTTGCCTTCTGAGGGGTAGTTTGACGCAACAAAAAAAACACCTTTGGGGCCTCTTGGGGCCTCATGGGGCCCTCATGGGCCTCCTGGGGGCATCCTGGCGCGGATAGTTCGACATGTCGGCGTGCCCCCCCTCTGCAATCTTTCTTGAGGTGTTCTTGGGGCTGTTAAGCCGTCTTGAAGGCCTCTTGGGCCGTCTTGGGAGCCTCTTGGGCTGTCTCGGCACCCTCTTGGGGGCCTCTTGGACCGTCTTGGGGCCATCTTGGAGGCTTCTTGGGGCGTCGGGAATAAGAAACTGCGGGAACGCCCAGATTCCTCTAACATCGAAGGGAAAATCAATGATTGTTGCTTCGTGGCATGGGGCCCTCTTCGGGATTCTCTTGGAGGCCCCTTGGGCAGTCTGGAGGCCATCGTGGGCTTCTTGGGGAGACCTTTTGGCGAATCGGAGCCTTCTTGGACACCCTGGAAGACCCTGGGACGGCCCGGAACCCCGGAGTTCAGGCCATCAAGAAGCTACAATCCTGGCTGCAGCAGCAGTACAACAGTGAGCTTTAGGGCACTCCACTTCGTGTCAGAGGCGCGGAGGCGGATTTGACACAGAGGACAATGACTACAACGAGAAGGTCGATGTGTATTCGTTTGCCATGTTACTCTACGAGGTGATCGCCGGGAGGTTCTGTTTCAATCGCGGTTCCATGACAATGTCCGAGTTTGTGGTATTTGCCGTTGAGGGCGGACGTCCTTCAGAGGACGCAGTAGCTGCGACCGCTCCAGGAATACTTCGTGTCTTGATGAAGGAATGTTGGCAGGCCACACCGTCTTCCCGACCATCTTTCTTCGAACTCGCAGATCTACTGGAGCAGCGCCATCCTGAGCTAGCACGCGCAGGCATATCACGCAGTAGCCATAATCCTGGTTGGATTGACGCTTTCTTTTGCTGCGTTCGCGGCAAATGAGTGTTTTTATTAGCTGCGCCTCCAATTGTCTGCGACGAATAATTCGTAGCCACCGTGAGACCCAGGAGCAGGCTTCAAAAGCCACAGGGTCTTGTTTCGCTGCTTATTTCGCGTTGGCTTTTGCGCGATGCGCGGAGCTCTTTGCGAATGGATGTCTCTCGCCCTCTCTCTCTCTCTCTTTCTTTGTGTTTGTTATCTATGTATACCTATACCAATGTTTTTGTTTCTCTCCTTTTTTTTGTTTCTCTCTCTCTCTCTCTATCTCTCTCATTCTCTCTTGCTGTACGTTTTTATGCAAACACTAGACTCTCAAGAACGATCGGCATTACAACGCACTTCAACGCAAAGGAGCCATGATAGGAATATAAGTAATAGGGGCCCGCACTAGCGAGCGGGAGTCTAGTGTATGCCGCCAGTTGTGAACATTCTCCCTGCGAGTCCCTTCATCGCTGGAGTACTGGACACCTCCGCTGGGGTTCATTTGGCTGCAGGGGTCCTCATGCTTCTGAACACAGGCTGGCGCCTGAGACGCAGGGGTAGGGTTCATAGGTTGTTGCCTGTACTTGTGACGTTCCCAAAACATTTCGCAGCGCCCCTTGCGGACGCGATTGAGCACAACTAGAGCTTTAGTTTGAGAGCGGATCCGAGTTGGTCGGGTCTGCGTCCGGGCTTTGCCTACCAGTCGATTCAACAGCAAGATTCTAGAGTACGTTGTCACCGGCTGGGTGACGGTGCCAAGTTGTTTTCGGGTGGCGTCGCGCTGGCACGAGTTGGTTCCTCCCCCTCCCGTCTCTCAATCCGTCTTCTTTGTGTTGGTGCGGTGTGTTGGGACTGTGTCTCCGAACCTGGCCGCGCGTTGCACACCCGTCGGCCCAGCTTGCCACAGTCTGGAGAACAGTGCCAGAGTGGCTTCTCGCGGCGTCGCTCTGGCCTGAGTTGGGCTCCCCGACCTCCAGTTCCTGAATCTATATTCTTTTTTGTGCGGAGTACTGGCCCTGGGTCTCTCAACCCTGACCGCGGCGGGCATGTCTTGGCCCCGCTCTGCATTCGCTCGGACTCTCGGACGCACCCTTCCGCGACCTGCCGTTGCAAAAGTTGGTTGCGGTGAACAACCTGGTCACCCAGGAGTGGAATTGAGTCTGATGCAAAGCACTGGCCTTGGGGTAAGGGCCGCGATATGGTCGGCGATGTCACCGCGGAACGTGCTTGATGAGTTCGGATGGGAAAACTGCCCCCGAGGACGCCTCAGGTTGCCCCAAGAGATGTCCGAGCTTGCTCAAGTTGCGAAAAGGACCAGAAGAGCCTGCGTCCCCGGCGCTCCTCTGGCCCCAAGGCGGCGCCAGGAGGGCCCCCGAGGCCTCTAAGAGGCCCCACGAGAGCTCCGAAACGGCCCTGCGGAGTACCAACGGGGCCACCCAGACGACCCCACAAGAGCTTCAAGAGAGTCCCAAGAGCCTTCTTTCAAACCTCAAATCAAAGTCGGCAGGAGGAGGACGCCCCCTCCCCCCGAGGCTCACTGCCCCCTGCGTCTTCCTCGTGCGAGTCCTGCTTCGCCTTGTGCTCCGAGCGAGTTTCCCCCCTTTGATGGTTGATGGCGGAGATCGCTATGGGTCGAGGTTCCGTCGGGCTACGAGCACATGGAGTGACACTCCGACCGCGTTCACAACCGAGTTCGGCAGGGTACCCCGAATGTGTTTGAGTCTTGCAGCGTGGGGCAGGGGAAGAGGAAGCAGGGAGCTGGAAGAGGAAGCGCCTCAGACTACCTACCCCTCGAAGGAAGCCCTTGGGGCAGTCTGAGGATCGTGAGACATACTGGGGCGAACACTGAAAGCAATCTCGTGTTCGGAGTATTGCCGGTTTCTCAGAAGCCTGCAGGGCCTCAGGGCGCATGCTGGCATCTTCTGGGGGGCTGCCGAGGCCCTGGGTCTTGGCGACCTCGGTGGCTTTCCTGAGCAGACTCGGGCACCAACTAGTTGAGCGTCACAAGTATTAGGTCGGGGATGTCCCCCTATACATGCGGAGTTTGGACGAACAAATGAAAATATATTCTTAATAACCCCAATTGTCAACAAAACTATCACCACATCGTCCCAAGAGTATTTTCCGACTATTTTTGAATATCCCTCCTGTAGAGGGACAGGCCCGACTTAACACAGGTAAGTAAGTGTGTGTAGGAGGACTTGGAGACGGCCCAGATCGCGTCGGCGCACCGAGGGAGCCTCGGAAGGCGGGAGGGGTCGCGCAGCTCGGTACGAGCAGGACGGGGGGGGGAACTTAGCAGATTCAGCAACCCATCGGCATCACCCCAACATACTTATATCATATGTGCGTCGCCCCCCAGGGGCGACGCGCGCACCGAGAAATCTTCTAGTATATGCGTCGTGGCGGGCGCTTTCTGGCCACACCGCTCGGGAAACGATCTACTACAAGATGGGTATACTATAGGTTCGGGTCGGACGCGCGCCTCCAAGGAGGACACATAGTATTAGTATGTCTCTGTGCGTCCCAATCCAGCCAGATGCCCAGGATGCTGGCCCGCCCACCCGCGACGACCTGCCTCCGTGCCTCGTCGCGTGGCCTCGCTCGACGCCCGTACGGTCAGGCCAGGCTGTGGTGGCCGTCTGGTTCCAGCGCCTCGTCGCAGCCGTTCCCGTCGGCCGCGAGCCCCCTGCCGGAGAGAACGCCCCGCGCGCGAGGGCGGCCGACGCCGCGACCCCCGCGCCTCGACACAGGGCTCCCCCCCCCCGCCCCGCCTCCCTCTCGTCCCGCCCTCCTCGTCGTCGCCCCTCCTCGTCGTCCTCCTCCCCTCCTCGTCCTCGTCCTTCTCGCCCTCCTCGCCTCGCCGCGTGGAGAGCCGCGGCGGCGTGCCGCGGCGCGTCCTTTTGGGGGGGCGGGCGGGTCGCGCCGCCGCCGCGCCGCGCTCCGACCGCGCCCGCTCCCGACCGCGCACCCCTGCTCCGTCCGGCCTGCCGGGGGGCGAGCCGAGACGGCGGGGGCCCCCAGACGGGGTGGTGACCACGCCGTGCGCCGTGCGGTGAGCCGGTGGGGATTATCGGGGTCACCGCACGGCTTTGGGACTCGGGTCGTTCTCCGAGGACGCCTCGGGCGACTGGGGCCTCCGGGGTCCCAAGACCGTGCGGTGACGGAACGTGCGGTGAGGCCTTGGGGCATTTCGAGGTCACCGCGCGGTCTGTCACCGCACCGTTTCGGGACTCCGCATGAACGGCTAAAATGGGGTCGACGGGATGCAACATTTGGAGCAAAAGGAGCTGGAGGAGGACAGGGAAAAGACATTATGTGGGCCACAGCAGAGGAGGACAGTGAGGAAGGAGAGAGTCTGCTTCTGGACAGTCTTGCTTGCTCCCATCGGAGCATATGCATCATTGGCCTGTGCCCTGATGTGCACTGGCAGGCTCAATGAACGCCAAACTCAATGCCCATAGAGAGCTCGTTGGATCATGTATATATCAGGCAAATCGGTCAAGCCCGTGGGAGAAAGATGAGCGAGAAGAGAGGGAGGAGGAGGCGGACAGGCGTGGTTCTGCCGGTTCTGCCCCTCCGCGCTTCGACGCGACACGCTAAGCACGTCCGAGCCCCCAGGCATCAACGTTTCGAATTCTTGACGCTTCGTGTATACCCACCATTAGCCGGACCCTGCTCCACGTGCGCAACTTCTTGGTTGGCGCATGGAGCCCCCGAGTGCACGTGGTTCAACCTGTGCCCTCCTGGCCGTCGGCCGACTGTGTTGACTACGTCCACGCTTTACTGGTGGCGGTGTCCACGGCATTCGTGTTTACTCGACCTCGTGCTTGAGGCGTGCCCCTGCTCAGTTCCTGGTCAGTTCTCCTCTCACGTCGTCGACCTTGTTCGGGAGTGGGCGTGGTCTCCTCTGGAGCGAGTGTGCGACTTCGGTGGCGCCACTCGTGCTGGCTCCTGGTCAGTGACGCATTCCTGACCATGGGTGCCAGCATTACCTCCTGGAATGTATTGCAAGCGAGCTGCCCCCTTCAGGGTCTGGGTGCGTGGACGTCTCATGTGGTTTATCCTACGTCTGCGTTGTGTGCGACTTTGGTGGCGCCACTTCCTATGCACTAGTTTCCTGGTCAGTGATTTCTTCCTGGCCTTGCTGGTGTCTGCGGTCCTTCGGGCGCTTCTGGCTTCATCCTGGTATCGCTCCCGCGCCATTTTGGCTGCGCCCCAACATCGGTTGGCTAATTTGATGTGCTCGCTCGTGGACCTGGTTCCTGGCAGCTGCAGCCCGCACCACCTCCCGCTTCCGGTGATCTGAGGTGCCGCTTAGGCCCCTGTTTGCTGGCGCGTTAGGCAATTAGGTTCGCGCGCGGCCCGCCCGTCCCGTTTGACGTCGCCTGCGCTGTCGATCGCGGCTGCGACAACAAAAAGTAGACCCACCAGCTCATCCAGAACCGCTGCCCAGGCGAGTTGTCTCTCAGAGTCTCCTCGATGTCTCTTGGCAGCTTTTTGGAGGCCTCTTGGAGCGTCTCGGGGGCCTCTTGGCGATCCCGGCGGCCTCTTGGAGCGTCTTGCGTACCTCGGGGGGCCTCTTGGGGGTTAGACCTTTTGGGCGCCTCTTGGGGCCTCCTTGGCGCCTCGTTGGGCCCTCTTGGGGCGCTCTTGGGAGGCTTGGCAGGCTCTTGGAGCCATGTTGGAGGAGATCGATCAAAAAAGGGAGGAGCTTCAATTTGCCTTGCCCCTCTAGAGTGCCTGGAATCGTCTCTTGGACCCCTCTTGGAGCGCTCTTGTGGCCCTCTTGTGCGCTCTCGGGGCCGTCTCAGGGCTCTGGATTGGACACCTGGGAGTACTCGCGTGCCTGGGCGGCTCCGCCAGCGCTACGCAGACTGATCCTGCTGTAGTTTCACTCAGCGAGCCCGGCAGCCTTACAGGTGCACGGGGGCGGGACCTCCCGCAGCGTTGCTTCCTTCCTTCCTTCCTTCCTTCGGGCTCTCTCGGTCCTCTTTTGGGGCCCTCAGGGGCCCTCTTGGAGTTATCCTGAGGCCTCGGAAGGCCATCGGAAACGAGACGGTGAGAAGGCACAAATCACTGATTTCCCGTAAGCCGTTGAAGGATGTTGGTCTCTTGGCGGCCTCCTGCGCAGGCTCCGTGGCCACTCGGAGCCGTCTTGGTGCGGTCTTGGGGCCTCTTGGAGCATCTTCGGAGCCATAATGAGCCATCTTGGGCTATCTTGAGCCGTCTGGAGGTCGTCTTGGGCTCTCTGAGGCCCTCCCAGAGCCATCTTGGGCCATCTTGGACGGTCAAGACAACCCCTAGAGAGCAAGTCGTCTAGCTCACTCCCACCCGCCCCCCCAACACAGAAGTAACACCCGAGCCTGAGCATGTTCAGCGGTCGTCTGTTGGATGGGCAGCTACTTGACAATGATCGCGGGATGGCCGCGCACGATCCAGATTTAGCCGCGAGGTGCATTTTGTATTGTTGTTTTGTCAGTGATGGTAGCCCTGCGCGCAGCAGGCAATATGCTGACGCCCCCGCCGTCCCCGTCAAAAACAATCCAAAGTGCTCGCGGGCCTCACGAACACGACACAAGATGTTGCCCTAAAGTTGACAGGGATGGTGGGTGGTGGTGGTGGTGAGCATGATTCCTGTTGGCTGCCGGTTGCCTGGGGGAGGGGGTGTATATTAATAGGGAAAGTCATCGACCCCTCCCCTGAGGGGAAGATGGAGGGTTTGGAAGAGAAGCCGCTCTAGACCGCCTACGCCCAGAGGTTTGGCTGGATGCCATCCAGCTTCTTGTTCCGCAAAGCGGAGCGACACGCTATCTCCCTGCAAGGCATAGCGTGTCGGCGGGGCCGCTGGCGCGACACGCTAAATAAATGTTCCTGACCGCAGCTCCACATGTTGAGCCATCAGTCTCAGCCCGTTCACGGTGCCCGACCTGGCCAGTCCGACGATCTATCACGCGGCTCTATTCGAAGAGGTGTTCGGGCCAGCAGGCCGAATCTTTTGCTCGACTCGCCAGATCGCTTGAGTGAGGGCCCCTATCAGGTTGAGGATCGGGTACTGGGCCTTCGAAGGAAATGCCGAGCAACCCCGCAGCGCGCTCGAATCGGGCGACCTGGCTCGCAGCCGTGAACGCCCTGCCGTCGACACATGCCCCACTCTTCGCTTAAAGGGGCGAACGCGCGGCTCCTCTGGCCCCTCTGTGACGTGCAACCTTCGCCCCGTGCAGGGCCCGGCTGGCTGTGGCCGGCGTCGCCTGCGCGGCGCTGCT